TGTCGTCAGCTTAACCAAAGCAGCCACTTCCATCTCGCACATGGCTGCTCCTTGATTGAACCTTGATTCTCGGGCGACGGGCGATCGCTCCGGTAATCTCCATTTTCCGATACCCCATTGCCATCATCGCGCCACTTCACAGTGTTCGCACCGCGACCAGCCGCGTCGTGCATCTCGGTTTTCGTCCTTCTGCCTGGTCCAGCACTTGTTCACGATGTGCCCCAGTTTTCCGCAGTAGGTGCAACGGCGGGAGTCGCGCTCAGCACTAAACGCGTTGGCAGCGTCTTCAGTTTTCACTGGCGCAGTCTTCTCTCCCTGCCTCTTGATGTGCTCGTTCGTAAGCACCTTGATCACGTCGTGCGTCTTCAGCTCCGTTGCGCTCATCTCCAAGTTGAGCACGACGTTCTCGTAGCTCTTCGGCAGACTGCGTAGCAAGCAGATCGCCACGTCCTCATCCTCCATCTTGGCACCGATACCGTTGAGTTTGGCGCTGATGTTAAGGACTTCGTTGCAGTGGTGCAGAACATTGTCGCCTTCCGCCATCTCCATGCTGAACAACTGCCGCTCCAGGTAGATACGACCAACCTTCTGCGTGCCGCCGTACAGCGACTTCAGCTTGGCCCACGCGATCCACGCATGCTCGCAGTCCGCAATCACATAAGAGTAAGTTCAGCTGACCACGGATCGTTGGGGGGGGGGGGGCCTCCGTTAGTCGGTGTCTGCTGGTGGGAAGATCGATCAGACCTTAACCAGATTTCGGCTGATCCCGCTACACCACAATGGTGTGCGTGCCCGGATCTCTTGGGGACTCCGGATTTCACCGTGAGTCCGTAGAAGATGCGCAAGTGAAGAAATAACCAGGGGAAGAGGCGCCGTCGGATATCGGATCGACGAAGACGCTGCTGAACAAAACGAGATCCGCGGATCGACAGAGTGCTCGGAGGACTTCTGTCGACGGAATCGAGGGCGATCTGGAGACAGATCTAGAAGACAAACCTCAACATCCTCCCCAGGTCCCTTCGGGGACCCCGGTGGATCTTGGTGCGAACCGATATTCACTAACAAAACAAACTAAGGTGGGATCGGACCGGTACGCGTTCGCTGACTCGCCGATCAGGCTCGATCCGAACTACCTGGACGCGGTCGCGGACAAGGCCCAGGCCGTGAGGAAGAAGCTGAGAGCGCCAGGCTTGGACAACGAAGATCCCAGACCGTCGGTGCTCGACTGGTCTGAGGCTGACCTGGATCGTCAGTATCACTTGAAGGAACTGCGAGACTTCTTGCGTCAAGATCCTGTCATGGTGATCTTGCGGCCAGAGCAGATCGACGACCCGAAGGGCCCGATCTCGGCCCCCCGAGTGACGGACAACAAGCTGATGGCGGTGAAGAACCTGCTCGGGCTGTTGAAGGAAGCCGCTTCGTGGCTGGTGCCTTTGAAGCGAACGATCTTTTCGATCAAGATCTCGATGTGATCTAGGCAGCGATCCAGACATTGGTCGACAAGTTGAGACCTTTGGTCGACGTGATCGCGGACAGTCCGGACCCGAAGGTGCCAAATCTAGTGTCGCCAGCACCCACGTCGTCGCCGCGGATGAAGTCCACTGGGTACCGATCGTCGTCTCCTTATGTCTCCGCAGCGGAACATGTATCGGATACTTCGTCTGAACCTCAACGGATGTCCCTCGGACCTTCAGGATCTGCGATGTTGGACGCACGATCACGGAGTCAACGTCAGGAACGCATGCGGTCAGGACCCCGGAAGCAGAAACCCAAGTCGACCGATCGGACCACCAGTGCTACCGGATCAGATGGGTCGAATGGCAGACTGGAGTCTTACTTTCATGCTGCGATGGCTCAATTTCTGAAGGAACAACAGGCCACGGTGGTAACACCTACTCCAGTGGTCGACGACAACGTTGGATCGCGGGACGTGGAGATGGAATCAGCCGGATCGCCGGATCAAGTTCTCTCTCAGTGGGAATACGATCCGGACGACATTGATCTACCGCATTCGGCCCCTGCTGCGGTGGCCACCGCTGCCTCAGGATGCACTGGGTCCTCCTTGATCCAGCGTGTGCCGATTTCGGCGATGTCCGATCTTAAGGAGTTCAGTGGCAAGGATCAGGACGAAGACCGCGCCCGATCGTGGATCAGCAAGGTGAAATCGGCGTTCCTGCGAGATCAGGCTACGGACGAAGAGAAGTGCCTGGCCTTCGCCGATCTACTGACGGGCCCGGCGATGAACTGGTACCGCCAGCTGGGTCGATCGACGTGGAACAAGTGGAGCGATCTACTCCGGAGTTTCCAGATTCAGTATTGTGGCCTGGGAGTATCGGTCGCTTGGCAGTATTATAATTCTCGCAAGAGATCAGATGAATCGCCAGCAGCTGTCGTCCTGGACGTGGTATGTCATCCACGCGCTGCTCACTGTGCCTGTGGTCGATGTGCTGATGTGGTAGTGTACTAACCACATATCCAATTGTCGGATCTCGCGGTCGTGCGCGATGGTCGTCATTATCCGAAGGCAGAGATCCAGATGCTCACCTTGTATCCGCTTTGCCGGTTGAGCTATCCAAGAGCCTTGACTTGGTAGACGCCTGCTGCCCTAATTGCTGATGTTGTGTCTTGCACCGAGGATGGAATTCCCTTGAATATGTGCTGTTTCGGAGGCGCCAGAGGAGCACCGGTGTCACCGTCTACCAGATCATCCAAATTGTCGCCATGGCTTCATTGGGGTGTGCCGTCCAGCGCGCTGTGCATGCTGGTCCCTCGCCATGAAGTCCACTATTGGAGGCGGAGCTTGACGTGCAGCTACTGCCTTCTGAAGAGAGTCTCGCTCGCTGGGTGTACTCGAGTGACCGAGCCAAGTGTCGAGCCATCGTTTCCACGAGAGTTGGGCTTTTGCGCAAGACCAAATGATGTGGTCAATGGTTTCCTTCTCAAGCTTGCACGACATTTCAGGACATTGGGGCCAGTTGTCGTGGTAAAGCCTAAGGGTTCCTAGCGTGATCCTGTAGATCGTCCAAGCTTCATAATCCGTAAAGATGCCTCGTTGTTGCCATATTCTCCGTGGACTTTGAGTCAGAGCTGCCTACCCCATGATGATGATCATTTACGGTGGTTCACCTTAGCCGTGATATCCTTCCAGCTGTAGTGATGGTCGCGTTTAAAAAGTCTGGATCGCTACCGGCGGAGGTTTTTGCAAAGGGAATGCGTACCTACCTCCGTCGATAGGGCCCAGGGGTAGATGGCCGTTTGTGGGGTTGCTGTGAAAGCAATGCCCGTCCAGTTGGCCCATTCCGCAATCTGCGTAAAAACTTCGGTCTGACGGTACTCTGGAGATACGTGGGCGAGTCTCCATGATAAACCGTCTGACTTTCTCATGACCATAAAGGCTGATTCTGTTGTCCTAATTAACTTCGCCTTCATTGATCGGCGTGCGCTGTTGTAGGTCCACGTGATCCTCCGCTGACCAACCGACATCCCGATAAGCTGAGTGATGCTGACTATGGAAGTCCATACGGTCCACGGTAAGCTGAGCATGATGTTGCGGCACCACCGTGTTGTTTGCCGTAAATTTGCTTTGCACTCCTTGCCTCGTGTGCATGGCGGACGAATTATGGTTGCGTGTTCTCCTGCAGTGGTCAATCCCGCTTCCGGCTGCACGTGTAGGTCCTTCAGTCGGGCTGATTGAAATGCAGGGAAGTCACTGAGTCTGAGTGGATCTTCGTGATCATCGAAAATACATCCGTTGTCGTGCCATGCCGCGTTCTACAGGAAAGCCAAGGTGACCTTGGGGAGTTCGCGTGTTGGGGTAGACTGAGTCGTGAATCGAACCCCCGAATCGTCTGTCGCGTAGCAGTAACTTAAGGCTGGTCCCGCGATGATGGCCATTTGAATCTCTAGTCGTTGCTGATCAGTGGGTAGCGAACCTTTTGAGTACGCTGCCCAAAGTTCAGCCGTTCCCATTGATGGTACGTTGGCTTGGGGCACTTCTCGCTTCTCTTTTTGCATCTTGTGGAGCATGTCCTTCGATGTTGGTCGGAACACGCAACCAGACGAGTAACATTGACCGTTCGGGTGACATGCTGCGTGCCAGGCTGCAGTATACGCATCATCTTCACGTTGGAGCCATTTGTCCGCCAGATTGCACCGTGTTGCCGGTAGAGCTAGTCCGATATCTTGTAGCCCGAGCCCACCGTCTTCTTTTGGTGTGAATACGAGTGCTGGGTTAAGTTGATGTCGAGTTGGTTCCGTGGTAGTCTTACTGTTCCACACAAACTGTTTCTGGAGGTTTGTCAGCTGACGCAGCGTAGCTTTCGCTGGTATGAACTGTTTCCCTGTGTACGGAATGCCAGGCAGCCCTACTACATTGAATAAAAGCACTCTCTGTGCGACGGAGTTGCTGATCGAGGTAGCCGTCGTTACAGTTTCTCGAATCTGATGTCCCAGTAGGCTGACGCAGACGTTAGATTCCCAACCCAGTATCCAAGTTGGCGCGTCGTCGCTGCTGGGCTGAGGACTGGAAACCCATTCCACCGCTGAGGGTTGCCGTACGTGTTCAGCTCAATAAGTAGACTTTTTTGGGGTTGAACGCGAAGGCCCGATAGTGCTCCAAAGTCGTGCAGGATGCCTTTGATCGTATCGAGTTCTTGAATCGAAATCTGGAAGACGGTGCTGTGGTATAGCAGTACCCACAAAATCGTCAGTTGTGGTAACTTGGCTACAAACACAACAATAGCCGAGCTGGTCGGCTTTGTTGGCCTGCGCCGGGTTGCCCCCGAGCGGTTCAGCCCAACCGGGACAGCGGGTGTCTCGCTTCTCGCCGAGACCTGCCAACCAAGATCACTCCTCCGGAGAACCGCCGAGTTCGAAGGCCTCTGTTCACTCAACCCTGTGCCCTCCACCAAAGGATGGACGACGGCGCTCGGAGCGCTTTTACAGGTCGCCGAGAGCAAAGGCTTCTCGACTCTGCAATCAGTGCCCGGGACGTACGGGAACACCGGCTCGCAGCGGTGGCGAGACTTTTCCTTCCGAGACACGCGCCCAACCCGGGCCGACCTTAATCTCTTGGTGCTACCAGCCGAGTACCCTACAAGCTATGCCTCTCGGGTAACGGCAGCAGACATAATCCGGCCCCATGCAGAGACTTTCCGGAACGTGTACACGAGCTTTAGGCCTAGAAAATTCTGCTCTGTTGTTTGTTATCTCTGTCGGGCGCCCTCAAGGGGCGCCTCCACTATTCCTAAGCTCCTATACAAATACCAAATGAAAGTGGGCAGTTTTGGATCTCGGCCGACTCCTAGCTGAGCTCGGCGACGATTGAGCTCGGCTGGTCTGGATAAGCTATCCGGATAGTTCTTCGAACTGGCTGAGACGGATAAGGTGTCCGGATAAGCTGGTGAACTCAGCTGAGCTCGGCTAGCGGTTCAGTGTACCACTCCAGCCGAGTTGGTCGCGCGAAATCTGGTGTTTCCTACACCACAGCTGCCCCGGTCATGTTCCGAGCCGAGTTGGTGAGGGACCTGACCATCACTCCTCGAGTCGAGTCCAATCTCGGCCAAAACACCAACAGCAGCGAACAAGTCTCTGTGCCATGTCGTCGTCCGGCACTCCTGCCGCTCCTCCGGTACGTTCATCACCTCTGATGGCTCCATCCATTCTGCTGCTGACCCTTCTTCCACTGATCTTCACAGGCTTCAGCTGCATCACCTTTGCAGTCGTCACATCCTTTCGCGCGAGATGAGGAGGAGTCCGCTGAGTTGGTCGACTCGGCGTCCCGGGCTCGCGGGGTCAGCGATGGGCAGGAGCACCCTGTCATCGATCTGACAACCTCCCGTGGGCTCGGCCGGGAGTCCAAGCCGGCATCTCGCACTTCTCCTCGCCGCTCACCGAGTCCGCGTGGTGACACCACTTCGGGCACCGCCGACCTTGGTCGGTCGGACTCGGCTGGACCGGTGAGTCTCGACTCTCTCGCTGCGCTGATCCATGCGCAGTCCAAGCAACGCCGCATCGAGAACGCGGACTTGGCTCGGCTGTTGTCGTTCGTGATCACTCGTCCCG